ATTGGTTTCCTTTTCCACTGCTCTAAGATCTTGTAGCTTTCTCTCCCAGAGTATTCACCCCTGGGTGAATGGGGCTCTGGAGTATTTAACACCTGTCAGACAAATTGACATGAGATTATAAATAATCTTCCATTTAATAAAGTGCAGGTTATCTAAACTTGTGTCTGTGCAGAACACCTCCTTATATATTTTAGGGTATTCTAAAACAGAAGAAATGAAGAACAAAAGGGGAAGAAATACTTTTTTTTTTTTTTTACTGCTACAGTAAAAAGATTAAAAACCCCAAATCATGAAACAGAGATCATATTCTTGAATCTGCCCTTGAACAGTTTATCACTGTGGCATCAGTGAAAGTATTCAATTACTCTACCATCAGCATCCATGTAGAAGTCCTTTGGATCTAACAGTACAATTCATCATCTTGAATTAGATATTTATAAATGATATCTTCAATTCCCAGGAGGTAAATAGGAAGAATTATGTTCAAACTATACTGAAGGTGGTTTCTTCTTCAAGCAGATCACTGAATATGATCATGTTACCAAAGAAAATAGAGCAAGCCAGAAGGACTCAATAAATCTCTGATTAAACTCTTTTGTATGATGCCAACAACATTAAGGATAAAATTCAACACTATGTGAACTGAGATTGCCCGAGCCTCATTGATGAGTGCCTTTTGAACAGAATTAATGGAGTACCTCTCACTTGACTTATGTACATAAAAAAGCAGGCAACTCTATATGGAGATAGAAGATAGATAGAAGATAAAGGTTAGATGACTCCTCACATCCTGATCTCCTGCCTTTTGAATTGGATCAGTACTTTTAACCACTAGGCTTTAAAAGCTTCAGAAACAACAACACTACTTTCTTCAGTGGTATTTCTACGTGCCCAAAGCTACTGCATTGTATGCAAAACCCAAAGCTGTTAATTTATGAGTTCTCTGAGCCCTAAACAGAGCTAAGACATGAAGTTTCTTCTACAGGTATAGGAAAAAAGCTTACACAGGAAAAAAAGTACTGAGAATTGTATGCAATACAAGAAATTTAAACACATCCACATTCCTCAGCAAAAAAAGACATAGAACCACAGACCCTCAAGAACTTAAATTGAAGGCTTTTTCCTTTTTATTTTTTAAATTAAATGAATCACATACATGTATTCATAAATTTCACACAAATTTCACTTTAGGCGTATATGTGATATGTTTGTGTGCATGCATATAAAGACGTGGACTGTGTACCTCAATAAACATGAGATAAGAAATATTAATCTCCTGATAAGTAGCAGATGAGGGCTTCATTGACACATTTCATTTACACATTTCATTTACAAATAGTGGCTAATGAGATTCCTATAGTTGCAAGCCTAGGAACATTAACTGCATGGTTTTTGAGGCATTTCTTCACAATTACAAAATCATATACCATATTCAAATATGGAAAATTTGATTATGAGTGAAAAAACTTAACCGCTATTTCAAGGGGTAACCCAGGTAAAAATAAAAAATAAAACATCCTCCATTCTTTCAGGAACTTTGGCAGTAGCCTACCTAATCCCAGAACCTATAGAATAATTCCTAAACTACTTGATGCATTTATCAAACCTCACTCTGATTTTGATAGCAGGCCGTGGTTGTAGAAATGTCTCTTTCCAGATCTGTCTCCAGGTCCATTAAGATTCTTTTCTTTTCAGGAGCTTTTTTCAGCTGTATGACCTAAAGTTGTTTCAAAACGTTTTATTTAGTGATTCTCATTGAATTCTCATGTGCAGTGCAAAGATTAACTTCACAAATTTCTTTATCATTCCTCACCAGTGAGAATAGCTGAGTTACATTGACAATTCTTGAGTGTTCCTTAGTTCTGAAAAACAGTCCTTAAGGGATGTTTTGTGAGGAACAGCTTTCAGAAGGTTTGAAGTTTTGTATGTGCAATAACAATACAACTAGCAGGAGGGCAGTTCACCAATATAAAACAGACCTGACTGTGCTTTACTGAGATTCTGTCTGTTATTATTTTAGAAATTCAGCCTGACTGTATTAATCAGCACTAAGAAATGGATTGCAAGACCATGTAGCTGCATTTTATCTTGACCTAGAGAGATCACCTCCAGGTAATAAAAGCAAGTTTAGCTTCTTTGCCCATATAATTTCTGCCTTGATGATAAGACTGACAAAACCCATGTCATTGCTGATTGCTACAGATACTATTCTGAGATGCACTTGTCAGTGAATCAACTGATTCTGCCAGTAAATACAAACCGGTGGTAAGAACTTTTATCTATACTGACTTTTACTGCCTGCCAAAAAAGCAGTGCACGTGGACAGAATATGAACTGGTTTTATTTTGGGTGATAACATTCAACTATTTTTTCAAGAAAATGCAACATACATAAAAAAGGAAGAAAATGTCCTCCATTCTCTTAGAGGTCCATAGTCTAGCTGATCTCATAGTGTATAAAACCACTCCCTGCATACAGTAAACCTGATAAATGACCTAAACCAACTTAAAGAATGTCAAATGAGGGAGAAATCAAACTTTTTTTTGATTTATGCTTTCATACGGAATAATCAGAACAGTAACAGAAAAAAAAAAGAGTAGTATCGACACCTATTTTTAAGTCAGTGAGACTGGCATGTGTCCATTCTCTTCAAGAAACCAAATTCAATAATGTGTTCATAATTATAGGACTAAGGTAGTAATCCTTGTCTAATGCCTTTAATGCCAGCACAGGGAACAGATGCGATGAGAACGTATTACTGCTAAGCCCCATTCGGATACTCTCAGACATGAGACGGTGATTTGTTTCAGTAGCTTCCAAAATCTATACGTTTCCTCTGCTCATATTCTGTGCACTGCCTACTCCCATCTCAGCCATCGCCTCTCTCTCTGCATATCAACACATTAGTTTGAGGGTTTAAGGACAAGCGATTCTTAAACTGATGTACAGTATGAATTGGAGGAGAAAGTACAAGAAATACTGCCAGAATTGATACCTTAGGCCAACCAACATTCTGTAAATTCACCTAGCAACTTCTGGCTTATCTCTTGTCTAGACTGCCACAGGTAATATGAAGTAGCAATTGATAGGAATTTTCTAATCTAGGGTACGGCTGCAGGCATCTGAATATTCAAAATGCTGTGGAAGGTATTACTGAAAAGAACAATCTTTCAGAAGAAGTATTTCCTTTCTTATTTCTTTACATCAAGAACAGCACAATCTTACTGAACCCTTTCACCCCATCTCTGCCTTTTCAATAAAGAGGCAAAAGTCTAAGCTTACCATTTAACTATAGGAAGAAAAGCTATTAGCATTTAAATTCTATAAAACAATATAGAAAACATTTTAATAATTTTTGCTTTAAGCAAACTGAATGCTATTTGGAATTACTGGTCTCAGAAATATTGGATAATCTTTCCAATCCTTTTTTACAGCACTATATCTCCCCAGAACTCATGAAAAGACCTTATTCTCCTTCTTGAATATTATGATGAAAATGAATATTCCAGAAAGAGTATATGGACCTAGCACTAGTTAGTTTAATTCCGTTCTTTAAATGCAACATTCCTAAGTGCCTCATCTACATGTGTTTTGTACAATGTCAGGGACTGTGACTCCGCCACTACTCTGGTCACACACACACACACACAATATATATGTGAATATATGTGTCTGTGTATATATAAATGCAAATATATATATATAGTGTGTATATATATACATGTATATATGTGTATATATTATCTGAAAAACTTGACTCCCTTTTAATTGTCCTGAAGGCAATTATCAGGAACATGACACTAATCCCACATAGTCTAATTTTTCAATGTTGAAAGTCAGTTAAAGTAGATTCTTTACTACAGTAATTCAATCCTTGTTCCTTCAATGCTAAAATGTTAAGTGTTTTTTTTTTTATTGTTTAAAAGTATTAACACAATACAGGATCATCTACAATCCATGTGGTTCAGGAGTTATAAGAAAGTCATACTCTTTAAAGATTATACCTGTGTGCATAAATAAATAAAGTTGCAAACACACACACATGTATCTATATGTGATCAATATGTGTAAGTACCTGAGGGGAGAATGTAGGGAGGATGGGGCCAAACTCTTCTTGGTGGTGGCCAGTGACAGGATAAGGGGTAGGGTACAAATTGAAACACAGCAAGTTCCATCTCCACGTGAGGAAGAACTTCTTTACTTGAGGGTGACAGAGCCCTGGAACAGGCTGCCCAGAGAGGTTGTGGAGCCTCCTTCTCTGGAGCGAAGGACCTGCCTGGATACCACCCTGTGCCACATGCTCTAGGTGTCCCTGCTGGAGCAGGAGGGTTGGACTAGATGATCTCTAGAGGCCCCTTCCAACCTCAACCATTCTGCGATTCTGTGACTACACAATATACTAACCCTGTTTGAGAGACTGTATTTGTGAATACCCATTGGACTGCAGTGGGAGCCTGCACAGTAGCAGTGGTAGCTTCCCCAAAAAGGCTGTGGATGTTTTTTATATTTTTTACTTTCTTTTTTAAATAGAGAAGGTCTTTTAGATTTTAGTTGTTGTTGTTTGCATTCTAATCAATTTTATGGCAAATAGGCCAGTGTACAGTTTACAGGAAAAACAAAAAAAAATCACATGTTCATTGGTGAAAGTGATTAAGTTATCCTGGGAAGAGCAATTTGGCTCCATAGAAAATTGATGTAACTTACAAGATTTGGCATAGTACATTTGTGCCATAACTGCAAGTATCTGACTGTGAAGAATAGTCAAAGAACAGTGCCTATATAGAAGCTATAAAAACTGTGAACAAAACAAAACTCTTAATGTTCGTATGTATGACAGACCTGGATAAAACATTGTGTCTTTACAGTGAAAAAACAAAAATGATATGTACAAACCTAGAGGGGGAAAAAAGACAAAAAAACAAACAAACAAACAAACAAAAAAAACTATATGGACATGATATTCTGCAATATTATAAAAAATCCAAAGTAGAATGACTTACCACTTCTTCATGGGTAGCACTTTCTACATTAATACCATTAACCTAAAAGCAGATACCATAGAGAGAAAATTATTTGAAATGTTTAAGTTAGTTAATGAAATAAACAAAAAGACAAGTATGAAACAAACATGTCTGTGGAACAAGCAAATGTTTACTGACCTGTATTATTGCATCTCCTATGAATAACATTCCTGTTTGGTCAGCTGTGGAAATACAGAAAGAGTACATTTTAATTGAAAAATCTACTGACTGAAAAAATAATGCTATATTGACTTTCAGCATTTAGTTTAGCATGCTGTTTATAACAGTCATCTAAAACTGCTTTGCTTTTGAAAATACCAATGGCATATCAATCAGTCACCACCTTGTAAAGCTAATAGATTCCTTCCAATTTTGGCCAAATTACAAGAGTTACATTCCATACACAAAATTTAACATGGAGCACAAGTGTAATTTCTCACTAATGAAGGATTTCATTAAATTATGTGGAAATTCACACTTTTCATTAGTCTTCTCCACTAAGAAAAATATAAATTTCAGAAGCTACTTAGCAATTCCTTCCCCCCAAACAAATTTAAAAGGACTGCTATAATTAAAATAGGTTGTGTCTAGAATATAATACCACTCTTTCTTTAATATTAAGTTTGAGTTAGCTTTGTTCCTGAGAGTACCATAATACATTATTTCAGTGTGTAATTTGCATGTGTTCTACCTTTACAGAATTAATGGGAATATTGTAATGAAACTGCAAAGAAAACTAATTCTTAATAGGTACAATGACATTTCCTGAGGTGTACTCACTGATTTTGTAATTTTGTAATTTTTAGTGGAATTGGAAGATGTTTACCTCTTGGAATTTAATATTTAAAAACAAGGCTCTGATCCTGCCAAGATTGATGTCAGTAGGTTACAGAACTGTTAAGAAGCTAATGCCATTTTGTCAAACTAATGGCAACTATTGCTGGCACTCTTAGAGTTGCACATGTACTTGTACCTTCAAAGTTAACTCAAGATAAAACTGGTTTGACCTGGAAGATGAGAAGTGTTTTGTACTTGGACTACATGAAGAACAGTGTGAACTGTAACAGTGTGCAGATAACACAATGGCATCAGCAAAGACTGCCATAGATATGTGATGGCAATTGTAAACTTCAGATTTTCTTTAATAAAAGAAACACTACTAAAATCAGTCTTTTTCTATTCCATTGACTTCATTAGGCAGGCAGGGTCAGCACACAATAGAAGGGTGTGTTTTTCTTGTAACACTAGGAAGGCTGGTAAATCAGGGGCTGGGAACCTAGGTGGATTGAGGCTAAATATGTGCACGGGTCAAAAGGCAACTATTAATGTTGTTGCTCTTAGTTTTAGTAATATTTAATATTTAAGAATTTGGGGAAAACATGATTTATAACCTAAAAATGGCACATCTGTGTTCACAAATGAAAGGTATTATTTTGTTATTAACTAAACGTTCAATTCTTATGACAGAAGAATCTTCGAATATTAAATCATTTGAAGAAATTAATGCAATTAATTAATTGTTATTTAGTACCACTCCATGGTGAACAGAAAGACAACAGCACAAATGTAGGCTTTGTATTATACCTATGGATTGCTTAATTTTACTTTATGTTTCCCTCCTACGTTCTGCTGGCACGTAATTCAAAATAGAGCTTTATTTATTTACTGCCTCAAGATTGTTGCAGTGCTAAGAAGCTACACAAACAGAAGCTAAGCATACAGAGGAAACTAGAGGGCAAGTATAGGAATCTGTAAAAGCATGAGACTTACCTAACGTAATATTGCCATAAAAAAGGGGAGAAAACTGTATCTAAACACAGCAAGCTCTGACCTTACATTACTATAAAATAAACCAAGGTAGTAAGCCTTTTGCCTTATCATAATAGCCTGTAATTGCATCAGATTCCAAAAGCTAAGCAGGATTAGGTTGGCTGGATACCTTAATAAGAATTCCATAAAATAACTGCTGGAAAAAAAAAAAACTAATTTAACATGGTATTGACATATTAAAGAAGTATTTGTAATAAATAAATATATCCTGCAAATAAAGATTCTCAGATGTTAATTCTTCATACTCTATGCAAGCCAAGTCATTTTCCGGACCTTATTCTAGGAGAAACTGAAGCACTGTTTTTTTCCCAATTCCCAGTGTCTAGAATGTAATAGGAGCAACATTGAGCTGGGAACTGTATTCACAAAACCAAACCGGCCTCGTGAAGAACAACCAAAATTTCACATTGAGAGCAGACAATTTCATAGCAGTTTTTGAGGAAGACTTACAAGGGAAATTGTATAGAAGAAGAAGAATAATCCTCCCAAATTGAACATGAATAGCAGAATCTCATCTGGAAAAATGTAACTAAGCCAGATTCCACTTTTGGGGAAAAAATGGTGGACACTTCTGACCATATATTCTTCAGATTGTTCATGTCAGATTATGGTCCTGTAACAAAAATGATTTTCTTCATTCCACTATTATTACCATTTGTTTTTCCCCCAATTCTGTTATCTCTAGCTCTGTTCACCTCTTATTTCTCATCTCTTTTTCTACTCATTTTCAGTGTGAGACTGTGGAAGAATTGTTTGAAAAGGAGGAACTTGGAGAAAAACTAGGGCCTAACAGAAGGGCATTACAGAGGCCTGCTTGGGGTGAGACACAGTTGCCACTTCCAGGATGGTTCGTGCACACGGACTTTGCTCCTCCACGGTTCCCTGGGCAGCACAACCTGCCCTCCTCACAGCTGCAAAGGGGAGTAACGGAGGATGGAGCGGAGTGAAGACACCGCGGCCAAACTCTGTTGCACTCCCTGTGCTGGGCCGCTGATAAGCCACACAGTGGCTGTCCAATGGGAGATATACGATAACATGTCCAGTGCTGAGCCAGCCAGGGTGGCAAATCACTCCTTTCGGATGAACTTTGTTTAAACTTTGCTCATTATAACCTCATTATAATGCCAAAACACACCTCCATCCCAGTTACCCACCTCCGAGGTATGACCATTCCTCACTGAGCATGTGTTCCAGATTTTTGACTGACTCTGCCTTTAAATGAAAGCGAGAAACTTTTTCACCAATCAATAACAATAGGAACTACGACTATAATAATTCATGCTCCACTTAGCGGAACTAAGGAGGCAAGATAGAGCGGGAAAATCCCATCCTAACTTCTGGGTCAGTCAATGGGCTGAACCCCTTTCCTCCTCTTGGGTCGGGATGCCACCTGAGGAGACTTGGGACTGAGAGCCGTCTCTCATTTTCTTGAGTGAGTGATGATTGCACATTTGTACATCAAAGCTAGCTAAAAATGCCACAGTGTAGCCACTGACATCCAAAAACTGTTTTGTAAATGTTGAATTTGAATAAATCCTGCTATTCGTGAACTGGACTACTTGTTTGGAAGGCAATCGGACCTATGGTCGACAGACCGTTCGTGAATCTGATACTGGCAGAGTCAGTATTTCATACCGCCTTCCCCCTCAACCCCACACTTCTTTCAAACTGCAACAGAGAATCTATGCTGTTTTATGAGATCTTTAACAGAAATAGGCAGCTTAAGGCCTTTCAGATGATACAAACAAAAAAGCAGGTTTTCACAATAAACTGTTTACTAGAACATTCTACCAATAAAAATAGTTTTACCTATAGGACTGGCACTGAATCTAACTTCAAAGGAAATCTACTACAACAATAAATTTATAATATTTTCACTGCAAACTCCACTAATGGAACAAATGTAGTTTTCTGATAAACAAGCATGGTTTTATATCTTACATAAACAAAAAAGTAAAAGGAGGCAAAAGGGTAGAGTGCAATTAGCAATTGCAAAAGAAGTCAACAGGCATGAAGGAGAAAGTTCTTTCCTTAGCTTTTTTTTTTTTAAAAAAAAAAAAAAAAAAAAAGTGAAAAAGAACCTTTTCCTGCAGTGACTTTTAGAAAGCAGATGAACTGTTCTCTGTCTCTCACCAATTTCAAAAATATCGTTTTGATACTAATTGCCTAATAGATCTGAAAGCCTATATTACTGCCAAAATTTACCTTTTTTTTTCTTGACCTGGTTTGGACAAGTGCTATACATAACAGGAAACAGAAGACATCTAGAAAAGTCATGGGGATGTCTCTTTTTTAGAAAATAAATATGCTTTGTATATCAAAAGCTATAACAGGAAAAGCTTTAAAGCTAAATTTCTGCCCATTAAACTCTTAGCACTGACTGTAAGAGAAATTGTTGAAGGCTTTTGTATGGATTTCTTGTTGCAAGTGGGTTTGCAACATCAGCCACACTGACATTTTATCGGATGATCTGAGCGAAGTGTCAACACACACGGTGATAAAAGTTTAGATCTACTTTAGGAAATAAGAGGAGAAAAATGCAAATAATTTGAATTTCCTTCAGAAGTCCAGGTATTTGCCCATCTCATCAAAAGACTCTTAAGCCAAGCTACTAACAATATGTTTCTTTCAGTGATTTCCAAGCAAATAATATTTCAGTGTGAAATCAATGAAGAAAAACTGAGAAAGAAAAAGTTGCCTTTTTAATTAAAGGAAGTGGTTTAATGTAACCTGATTACATTGCATTTTTTTTGCAAGCAAAGAGAGTCTGAATGAAACCTGCCATAGATGAGCTACTGAAAAGCAAATTCTCATGTTACTGTAATTCATGTGTTGAGTGGAACACATGCAACTGTGTTGAGTGGAATAAGCTTTGAATGTGTGATTATATGAATAAATTTCTACTAGAGAAAAAATATTCCAGTTTTATACATATTTAGTAAATCAATTCTTCCTCATTTGAATTTGCCTTTATAGAAAAATATCAACACTAAAAGAAACATGAAATTGGAACTTTAGTCAGAGGAATACTTAAAACTTCACTTTTGCAAGAAAACACATGGCAGTTAAGACACTGCACTGTTTGCTTTTTTTAATGTATCTTTAGAAAATATGAAAAGTTACTACTGATATTTATTATTAGAGATATATGCCCACCTATAGCCAGCAAGTTTGTTATTATTGAATATAAATGTAAAAATACTCATCTATTGAATAAGAAGAGAATTAAGTACCAATAAGCAAGTAGCAAAACCCACAAATGTAACTGTGAGCAAGCAATGTTTATTGTTAAATATCAGCAATAAAAAAGTTCTACCAGCCAAGTATAACTAGGATCCCATTAAAAGTCAGT